TAGGCTTTGGGGTTTAGGGTTTGGGGTTTAGGGTTTGGGGTTTAAGGGTTTAGGGGTTTAGGTGTTTAGGTGTTTAGGGGTTTAGTGTTTGGGGTTTAGGGTTTGGGGTTTAGGGTTTGAGGTTTGGGGGTTTAGGGTTTAGGGTTTGGGGTTTGGGGGTTTAGGGTTTAGGGTTTGGGGTTTGGGGGTTTAGGGTTTAGGGTTTGGGGTAGTACAAAAGATGAACGGCTCAGGGTCTTCACGTCGGGCCTCAATCAGCCACCCTGAACCCAACAAAAACTAAATCCCAAACCCTAAACCCTCTTAGCTGCTCTGAGTTCATAAGCACAAAACGGTGCACTTTCAGTTCTTTAAGGGATGCTATGATCCCAAAAAGTTTAAAAGTGTACTCCTTCAGCTACTCTGGACCCGAGACCCTAAGCCTTAACACCTACACCCAGTAAGCAAGACTCCTCTTCTGTTCAGACTGCTTTGGGTACACCAGAATGGACAAATGTGATTGTTTAAGGTCTTCTCTGAACGGGGGAGTTCTTCAGACCCTGTCTGTAGTTCTTCAGACCCTGTCTGTAGTCTTGGAAGTTTCGTTAACATCAGAAGTTGAGGCTTTCTGACTCTCCAGGCGGGTGTTTAGCCTGTTTCGGGGCTGACTGGCTTAGACTACCGGCCAAGCAGTGCCCACGATGAGGGTCGGCTGTGTTTTGAAAGAGGAAAAAGAACCCCAGCACGGCTGGTGACTTTGATGTAAGTCCCATCCCTTTAACCTCATGAAACCCTGCAGGAACGCACACAAACCTTCTATGCAACCCTTTGGTAAAACGCCTAGGTCCTTAACATGTTTGTAACCCAAAACTAAACCCTATAAACCCTTAAACCTTAAGCATTAAACCCTAAACCCTTAAACCCTAAACCCGAAACCCAAAGCCCTAAACCCTATAAACCCCGAAACCCTAAACCTGAAACATCACTCATGCTCTTCCTTTGGCGGTACTTCTTTGTTCCGTATACCCCAGCATCAAAACGAACCTACTCTAATCATTAAGGCCCCTAAACCCTGAACCCGTGACCCGAAGCCCTGTATTACCTTGAGATTCTTGGAGGGGCTCCTTCTCCATACTTCCCCAATAAGCCAGGGAAATAAAAAGGTTAAACTTTCAGATTACTACTAAGTTATCAGAAACCCAAAAAGTTTATAAAGGGTGGGTATTGTAGAACTAAGTTTCTGCAGGGCGGACCAAGATTCTGATTTGCGCAGTTTCTGTGGAGTTCAAGGTTTTCGGGTTGAGGGTTTAGGGTTTTGGGTTGTCTAAGCACCCAAATCGTCCAAGATCCCTTGATAAGGAGCTAGGATTAGGGGGACCCTCTCCCTGATACTACCTAGGAATGTAGAGGAACCCAGAGTCTCCACTACTACTATTGATGATATATAAACCCTGAATTACCTTGAGGACCCTAAACTATGGGAATTGCGGTATATTTTTTTATTATGGGTAGTGCAGGATTCTTTATCATAACCGTATCTTTTTATAGACTTGGTATGGTTTTAGACGCAAATGCCATAATGGTAGTGTACATGGAGCCTCTGGGGAACATACCTTCAGCTATGGCAGGATCCTCAAGATGCTTCCCCTAAACCCTAAATCCTCAAACCCCAAACCCCCAAACCCCTAAACCCCTAAACCCAAAACCCCTAAGCCCCTAAAGCCCTAAAGCCCTAAAGCCCCAAACCCCTAAACCCTAAAGATCTGGGATCCGGGAGTTAGCTTTTAGCTTATGCGTGAGGGCTCGAGGAGTGCTCGAATTAAGCCTTCAGGGCTGCTGGGCTTTTAGGTTTTAGGAATTCAAGGGTTGGGGTTTAGGACTTGTTTTAGGGTTTAGGGGACCTTAGGGTTTAGGACTTAAGGTTTAGGGCGTAGGGTTTAGTTTTTTTTGGGTTTTAGGGGGTTCAGGATTTTGAGTTATGCACTGAGGACTCGAGGACTTGTCTTGAATCTGTCGTTGGTTTGATTGTACAAACTACAAATCCAAAAACCCGATCCCGAAAAGTCCAAGAGCTTCAGCATTCTCCCAGAGACTAAGCTGCACAAACCTTACTTTCGAAAACCCACGTAACGATTTTTATTACCCTAAACCCTCAACAACCCTAACACTTCGGACCCCTAAGGGAACTGAAATGCTACCGAACCTGCAAGGCTCGCCTCCTGGGACAGAGAACCAACCCTAAACGAAACCCTGAAACCCTAAGCAGGTGTAATGATGGGTTTAGGGTCGGAAGGTTTAGGGTTTAGGCTTTAGGGAGGGTTTAAGGTTTAGGGTTTATAGGGTTTCCCTAAGCCACCTAAGCCCTGGGATACAGAACCCGATAAGCACCGAGTGGCGACAAAGTAGGCACTGTGGCCTCCCTCGGCCTCGTCAATTCGGAGGTGGATGGTACTGCGACCCTAAGGCTCAAAACAGCCCAAAAGCCTTTCAGAGTATGGTCTTTGGGCCCACAAGCCTTAAACCCTAAACCCTAAATGTGAGTCCTTAGAGCCTTTGGGTGAGGTTCTGGAGGGTTTTGAGTTTACAGGCGTTACAGGGCTGATAGGGTTGAGGACTGAGGAAGTTTTACGTTTAGCCGTTTCTACCAGGGGTCCATGTACCCGGATAATATATACTTTGGCCCCAAAGTACTCCCTGCTTAAGTACTTTTAGGGTCAAAGCATATACTACCTGGGCACCTGGACCCTTAGGGTTGTTAACCTTACCTCGATGATCGATGATCCCGGAACGGAGCTCCCACGGTAGAGAGCGCTTAGGCTAAGCTCTCAATCCAAGCAAAAAAACAAGAAGCTCTTTCTGCCAAGCCGGCCTCAACGCCTCCAGAGGAATCCTGCAAAATCCAGCTTTGAAGCTTCATCGCTCCGAAAAGGGTTGTGAGTGAGGTAGGTAAAGTTATAACGGGATGTCGCCCACTTGGGGCTTCTTAGGGGTCAAGGGAGTGTTCGAGGACGGGTTTTCAGGATTTGAACCTTCGACCCTTCGAGCTTATGCTATGAGGAAACATGGAAAATCTGTTGAGGGAGATGTGCCGCAGTATCTGGGCTTGTTCCTCCCACCTTGCAGAGCCTCAAGAGGTGGCTCTGCCTGGACGCTAAACAACCTACCTTGTCAGGATTCCTTAATTTGATTTACCCTGAACAATCGACCTAAAGCTTTGGGGGTTTAGGGATTAGGGCATATGGGGTTTAGAGCAAACCAAGGGCACGAACCGTCGAAGCCAAGTACTTACGTCATTGGTGCAGGCTTCCATCAAACCCCAAACCCTCAAAACGTCCCTGTCCTCGGAAGTCCGAACGGTGGTGGTCGGCACCGATGGCAAAGCTGGTGGTGGTGGCAAGAGAGGCAAAGCTGAGGGGTCAGGCGGTGTGGAGATGTGCTGCGCAAAGGGGCCAAGGAGCTCGACGGTGAAGAGGAGACCATGTAGCCTGCGAGCCAGGGTCGCCCCGAGTTCGGTTTTTTTGGATTTACTACGACTTTTAAGTAGGGCCAGTAGGGTCATAAGTTCATAAGCTATACAAAGTGCCTGAATCTAGTGGTCTTGGGTTGAGGGCTTTTTTAAAGATCTGCCCTTTGTTAAATCGCCTCCGGTTTCGGAATTACTGTAACATATAAGCAGGGTGCCTTCGTTATTAATTAAGTCGCCGCGGGCAAGGGCTTACTGCTACATCCTCTATCGGCCGTATGCTCAGGGATGGGGGGGGGGGTGATATAGGGAATTAGGGTTTTGGGTTACATAACTTATTGTGCTCGGGAACGCTCCAAAAACCCCAAGCCTCACAGTCCTCACCCGCTGCAAGGATGGGTAGGGAGTGAGGGTGGGGTCGGCGGATGATTAACATTTTTGGTACTGTTATGATTTGACTAGTAATTTGATTGATTTTTGCGACATGGACCTGATCTATTTATACTTCAGGCTGCTATTGTTGACTTGTTTTGTTATCAACATGACAATTAGTCTTAATAAAAACTCTCATTGCCAGAAGCAGCAGTGATATACTCTTATTCAAACAACAATAATATTGATTGTTGCTGTTCTTATTCTCACTTGTAGTAATAATGGCTCGAGGCCTGAACGGTAATAATATATCCTACTTCTCAAGTCTCATGCATGCCCCAACCATCCCAAAACTCTACACTTGAAGACCAGACCTTATCCCCCAAGCCATTCCGACATGACCCCATGACGCAGCCCGGAGGCCGAAATACGAACTCTCGAACTCTTCATATCCTATTTATTAGATACACCCTAAAGTGTACCCAGCGAACCCAATAGCCCTTAAGTAAGGAATGTACCTTAAATCTATAATATTAAGGCCCCTATAACTTAAGGTATATTCCTTAATTAAGGGGTACTAGTATTGGGTTCTCTGGGTAAACCTTAGGCCACCCTAGACGCCGAAGTGATAAGAGCGAAGTAGCTGCTGCAGGGCGGTAGTGAGGACATCCAGCTTTCGGCCGATGTCTCGCAAAAGAGCAGCTGCTTTCAAGTAGGAAGCCACATCAGCGGGTGTCTCCACCACAATCTGAGATCAGGGCTCTGGGTTTCGGGCTCCGGGGTTTAGAGGCGTTTTGAGGTTTATAGGTCTGAGCATATCCTTTGTGCTCCGGCTAAGCCGTAAACTTAAAACCTTTCGGTTTGGGACTTGGAAACTTCTGCATCGGAGACGGCTTGATCGGTGACTTGGAGATGGGGTTCAGGGTTTAGGGTTTAACAACCACGATGCCAGACAAACAAACCAATGGATAACCTTGACCTTACTGGCAAATCCCAAGCTCCGCCCTTTTCTTGCATGAAGGAAGAGCCCTTCGAACCCCAAACCTAAACCATAAGCCCTTTGGCCCTTTGTGGCTTTCAGCTCACCTTGGCTTCCATCAGGAAGGCAAAAGTCGGAGTCGGCCGGCTTTCGTCCTCAAGGGATCGTCGACCGCATGAAACAACGAACCGAAGGAGTAGGGTAAGTCTCGGCAATGATCCTGCTTCTACCCGAAGCGCAGTCTGCACGGACTCCCACTTATCGGGGGCCGTAAACGCCCCTTACTGTCCCTGTATAACTATTCCGCAGTATACCTCCAAAACACTACTCTAAGTAGTAAGGCCCCTATGCTACCTTGTATTTTCGGGTGTCCACGTCCTGACCATCAGGAGAGTCGTGGAAATCGATCATGTGCTGCCGGAGCCCGAGAACCTAACACTTCAGGCTGTAAGCTTTGGGTTTCAGCAAACTAGGATTGTTCAGGGTTCAGGGTATGGGGTCTCGGGTGTAGGTTTAGGGTTCAGGGTTTAAGGTATCCGTATCTGGGGGTCTTAACGGGATCCTACGATTTTAGGCTCCACGAGATGCTGACTTTTTTGTGCGAAGCTCCCATTCAAAGCTTCAGGGCTTTAGGTTTATGTCTATAGCCGTAAACCTTTAATAGACCTTTATAAACCACCCCCCCAAACGCTAGGCCGGAAACCTTATGATGCCCACTCAGAAAGCCTGGACTACCCTAAGGGTCCATGTACCAAAAAGGAGATACTTTCATAGGGCATAATTAGTTTGCAACCAAAGCACATACTGTATGGTGCATGGACCCGTATATCCCTAAACCTTTATATGGTGCTCTTACATGGCCCTTACAGGAGCTTCGCAAGGAACCCACGGACCCTTGGTATATACTATTTGGGTACATGGACCCCACGGGTTCACACTGAATCTTAAACCCCCAAACCGACCGGTATCACAGAATCGGAGGCTCACAGAACCTTTAAGCAAAGACTGTTTAGAGCTTAGGGTTTGGGGTTTGGGTTTAGGGTTTAGGATTTTGGGTTTGGTTCGGGTTTAGACCGAAACCTTATACCCAAACCCTTGGCTCTCAAGTAGCCTTTAAAAGTGTAGGGTCCCATTTAAATGGTCTACTTCCCAGAACCACATGGGGGTCTGGGTAAGATGAGACAAGCTGGCCCAGTTACACGGATACGTCCAAACGCGGTGGGGAGAATCCCCCACTGCGGCCCTCCCTAGTGCATATGCGAAGCAATTTCTGCACGGGGATGAGGAAGCCCGGACAGTGAATTTAATGCATGATTTTTGGGACGCACTTCCCCATGCCGCACAAAGCGGCCTGAAGACCGACGGTCCGCCTGCAACCCTCCAACTCTACTTTGGGGTTCCTTACTATCTATCTATCTATCTATACACACATACATATAATACACAAATACTCTAGCCCTAAACCCTCATTCTACTTATGAAGGCCTATACTAAACCCGTATTACCGTACCGTCATAGTCTCCCTTAAACGCATCCCTTAAAGGAGCCCTATTCTGATTACGAAAGCTCCTATACTACCCATATGCTCCATTATGGTTCCTTTTTGTGGTTTATATTTAAGAGCCTATAAAGTAATCCCAAGAAGAGAATTACTATGAAGACCATAAAGTAATCACAAAAAAGGAACTACTATGGAGCCCATAAAGAAATCCCCAAACAAGGAACTACTCTATGGAGCCTATAAAGCACTCCCCAAGAAAGGAACTAAAATGGAGCTAAACCCTAAACCCTATGGAGCCTATGGGTGGAGCCGAGGAGCAGAGGCAAAGGATCTCCGGAGGAGATGGGGCAAAGGCAAAGGATCCACGGGGCAGAGCAGAGGGTCACAGGCCAGGACGATGAGGCCACCTGACAAAGAGTGTTGAGGGGATTTTGAGGTTAGGGTTTAGGGCGTTAAGGGTTTAGGGCTTTAGGGGTTTAGGGGTTTCGGGGTTTAGGGCTTTGGGGCTTTAGGGTGTTCGGTGATTAGGGTGTTTTAGGGCCTAGGACTGAGGACCGAGGGCCGAAGCAGGAGTTGTTAGGGTTACAAGAGGACCTGCCAACTACCCGCTACTATACCCACTCTTCAGGACCATAAGGGCTCTTTTAAAGGGCACTTGGAGGGTCCTGGCATAGGGAAGTTTAGGGTTGAGGGCTTCGGGTTTAGGAGTTGCAGTATGGAAGTGAACCCGCAAAGCAAACCCCCAAACCCCTCCGGTTTAGGGTTTAGGGTTTAGGGACCCTAAACCCTAAACCCCTTGAAAGCACTCACACCAGAGCCTAACCAACAAATCTCACAACTCTGAACGCCAAAGCCCCAAATCCAACAACCCAAAGCCTGAAACTCCTAAACGTTGAGATGCCAAACCCAAACACCTGGAGCCTCGAAACGCCCAAAGCCCTGAACTCCCAAACATGCCCAAACAGGGGTTTAGGGCCTTAGTGTTTAGGGTTTAGGGTTTAGGGGAAACCTCTAAACCCTCAGCCCCAAGTCCACCGCAGAAGCCACAAAGTCCGCCCAAGAACACTCCATAAACCTTCTTCAACCCCACACCCTAAACCTCTAACCCTTCCTGTGACCCAAAGATTCTACCTCTTTTCAAGAATTATATATATATATATATGTATATTGTATATGGAAGTAAGTAATAAGCAAGTAAGTATGTATGTTTGTATGTATGTATGTATTTATGTATGCATATATATATGTACATATAGATATGTGTATAGACTGCATAATGAGAAACTCGAACATGGTAAGTTTGTCGGCTACCGGCTAATCCTCAACTCTGAACAACTCCAAGCTGCGGAGGGTCGCTGTTGCGCCCCGAACCATCGCACGACTGAAGATGTTGCTCAAGGCACTTCCGAAGACGACCAGGTTTCCTTCGTGCCAAGTCTTATGTGAGGTTCGGGGTCTTGACTCCATTTAGCTGCTGAATTCATAAGCACCAAAAAAGTGTACACTTTCAGTTCTATAGAAGGGTCATACTATCCCAAAAAGTTTAAAGTGTACTCATTCAGCTATACTCAGTCCAGAGCCTAGCGAGTTGAGATTGAAGTTGAGGGCGCAGGCCTTCCTACAGGACCCGGGCTTAGGGTGTAAGGCCTTGTAGGTTCACGAAATGACGGGACCAAGGCTTTAGGGAGGTGCAGAAATCTGCTTGAACCTGGAGAGGCTCAAAGACGGCTATTATAAGCTTCTGAAGGTTTAGGTTTTAAGGGGCTTGGGATTTATGTGCCAAAGTTTCCGGAAACAGACTGTGCCACGCCGGAGCTGCCCCAGTTTAGAGTCCAGCCCGTGGCAAAGTCCAGCGAGCTGTCCACGATCGCACAAAGCACGGTCACTGGCGAGTCAAAGACAGCTTTGATTCGGATACTCCCTGCCGGGCAACCTGAGTTGGTGTTTGAAGGGCCGCAGAAGTAGTGAATCGGTACAGTACCTCATAAAACGATGGCAAGCGTATCTCATGTTGCCATCTGGCCACTTGCGCAAGTACGAGGAGAGAAACTGGAAGGCATTTGCCACCAACCAGCTTTGAGTGTGTACTCGGTAGCATCATTGTGGACAGATGCCACCATTCTTGAAGGGACCACCAGCTCTGTGCAAAGGGTGTCCTAGTTGCTGAATTCCAATGAGCCCCAGAACAGCTGACATTTTGTATTCGGCAAGAGCCGGAAAGACGAGATAAGATAAGATACCCTAAGAGCTTCCATACTACCCCTCACGTACGCGTGCATGCTATAACCCAAAGCTAACCCCATAAAAAGGCGCCAAGCATTCTCCTTGAAGAAGCTCACTCCACGGATGGTGCGCTCTTGCCCACAGCGCGCATCCCGACGGTTTACATACACGGCGCACGGAGAGATGGAGCTGGCGACAGAAGGGTACCTTTTCAGGCTTACCCGAAATTTCTACGGACTCTTATTTTAAGGCTTTTGGGCCCGGGATCGAGGAATCGACAGGTTTACGGCTCTCCACATGCAGACTTTACTTGAAATGTTCAACCTTCGTTTAGGTAGAACGTGCGCATGTATGTGTAAAAACACCAAGACATAGATGTATACATGTACATACTTGTTTTTCATATGATTGTGCGTACGTAACCTATCTACTTCTCTGCTTACTGATTCAGTTTGATGCTCATGCACCAGCTGTCCCTCTGCCTAGCTCTATTTACTTTCATGGTCTATATGTTTACCAGTTGACCAATCCTCCAGCTGCTAGTTAAGGTACTCCTCGGTGGCCAGGTTGATTGGATTGAGGCTGTCGCCCTGGAAGTAACAGCGGGCCTGATTCGGGGACAAGGTGGCGTTGTCCAGTCCCAAGAAGAAGTAGATGCCGTGGCAAAGGCTGCAGGAAGTGCAGATTGCTGCGCAATCTGCGAGGCCAAGGCAGTCGGATGAGCTGCAGCCCCCATCTGGGAGAGGAGCTCTCATCCATGCACTGCAATTCACATCATTTCGGCTATGCGTCTTGGCCCAGCCGCAGTAATGTGTCTGCAGCTCGGTGGCGATTGGGACACCTTGCGGTACAGCTCTTTGGCTTGAAGCTTTAGAAGGTGGTTCCTAGATTCTCAGCATCTAAATCTCCGGGAATCGAAACGCCAAACCGAAAAACCCTCAACCCGCCAGCCATCAGTCCGGGCTACTGTCTCTCGTGTTGAGGAGCGAATACTCCTGCATGCTGCCCATCTCCGAAATGCAGATTGCACTGATCCGCGCCCCGATGTGCCAGGACATACGAAGCGAGTCGTAGAGGCCTGCGGATCAAACCCAGCGCGGGACAAGAGGACCACTAGTGTGTGCAAGTAGAGGCCGAAATGTCTAGCTGTGCCCTTGAGGCTCAAGAGTGTGGATACTGTCTGAGTACAGGGATGCCTAGGCCCCAGTTGCTTGGAGACTTGTGGGATGCCAGTCGCAGAGTTCAAATGAGTAGCCCCCTTCCTCACTATGATACCAATGGCATTCAACATCAGCAAGGGAAAGGGCGTTATTGTGGTCCAGCTGAATGCGATGCTTCGTTTCATGATATGGCCCCGAAGCCCGAAATCGTGTCTCTGGGGGCTCATCGGAGACAAACCCGGCAGCATGGAGCTCGGAAGTACAATGAAATCGACCGAACAGGTTGAGAACTTCTTCGTTGAAGATGCATGCCGAAGCGACAAGAGCCGAAAGTTGAGCGGAGACGAAAGCCCACAACGCAAGCCGTGTACCCGCGACGCCCACCGATCGCCTGTGTCAATGTAGTGCTGGCACACCGGGAGGCCGGAAGCCTGCACTAGCGGAGTGTCGTCAGAAGGAGCATAACAGCATCGACTGTAAGGATGCAAAAACTTTCGTAGTGGAGGCGACGAGGAAGAGGATGACCATGACGATGATGCGCATGCAAGTGGTGATGGTGGCGGCGATGGAGCTGGTGGTAACATTAGTCGCTACAGTGAAGACATAGTGATGATTTATGACGGAATGATCGACAATGGCTATGATGACGAGCTGATGATAATAATGGTGGTGGCGGCGGTGGTGGAGACAAGAACGACTAAGATCTTCGGTTGCTCCTTCGGCAGAATTGAATGCTAACCTTTTTTTAAACCTGAACCCTACGACCCAAAACCTTAACCGCTAAAACCCAAACCGTTAAAACCCAAAGCCCTAAACCTTCATTTAATCCTAAAGTAGGGGCATAGACAGATTCCGCAACTACTACCCTAAACCCTAAACCCTAAACCCTATAGTAGTACAGCTTTCAAGCTGCAGAGCTCGAGGCCGAGCTACGGTTGGGGTGGGCGCAAGTTCTGCAACGTGAGCGCAAGGCTCGCCCACGGCCCAGCTGTTCTGGAGACAGTTGCCTGAAGCCGGGCGTTGGGGACTTTAGGGGTGTTGGGGGGTTTCGGTTTAGGGTTTAGGGATTAGGTTTTAGGGTTTAGAGTTTATAGGGTTTACGGTTTAGGGTTTAGGGTTGAATTAAGGTTTAGGGAGCTTAGGGGTGTCGGGTTTAGGTTGTTAGGCTTCCTTGGAGCGCCTTGTATCGGCTCTCCGACTGGTTGCAATGCTTGATACTGTGATGCACATGAGATATTGTTTGGGGGAGCGGTGGTATAGCTAGAGGGTTGGGGCGGAGGGTTCAGGAGGTACCATGAAAAAAGAGGGAATAGGAACGTAACACCAACAGGACAGGCATGAAACCGGCTTGGATTCCCTAGATGCCCCCAGCCCAAATCATATCTGGATCTCATATCAACTCCGCAACCCTAAATCCTGAACCGAAGCCGTAAGTTCGACCCCTGCCGTCACAAGCCCCGAACACCAAAGGCGCATCTTGAAACCCCGGACCCTCGAATCGATATCTGAAGCGATAAGCTATAAGGGTCCATGTACCCAAGTACTATATCTATATCTCTATCTATCTATATAGCTAGATAGATAGATAGATACTTTGGCGCTACACTACGGGCACAGGGATTTCTTTACTTTAAGGCCAAAGAATATACAGAATATACACTTGGGCACATGGACCTTTAGGACTATCGTAACAAGGGCTAAACCCTACAAACCCCAAACCCTAAGCCCTAAACCCTAAGCCCTAAACCCTGAGCTCTAAACCCTAAGCCCTAAAACCCCACAACTCTTGCGGCCGGCCGAGGCACAAGCGATGGGAAGGCTGCCATTTGGGCATGGCAAAGTCAGGAGGTTGATGCCCCAAGCGGAGCGAATGGTCCTCGATTTCGCTTTCGGGTTTAGGGTTTCGGGTTTAGGATTTAGGGTTTAGGGCCTTTCGGGATGTCCAAAGGAAGAGTGAACCGTCCTTGCTTCCGGGTATCGGAGTTAGGGTTGAGTACCTGATTGAAGAAACCCTGGCCCCATAACCCGAACAAATTTTGGGAATCATATAAGGAGCCCTAATAAAGAGTATACCCATAGGCTCCGTAGTAGTTCCTTTTTGTGATTACCTTATAGAATCCTAAATATAAGCCACAAAAAAGAACTACCATGGAGCCTATGGGTATAGGCCCTAAACCCTAAACCCCTAAACCCTAAACCCTAAACCCCTAAATCCCTAAACCCTAAACCCTAAACCCCTAAATCCTAAATTACCTTATACCACAAGGAAGGAACTACTATGGAGCCTCTGGGTAGGGCGTCTCCTCGGCTCTTGGATCCTATGTGGGCCTATAAGCCAGGGTTTAAGGCTTTAGGGGGTTTAGGGTTTAGGGTTTTAGGATCTAGGGTTTAGGGTTTAGGGCTTTAGGGCTTCAGGGTTTTAGGGTTTAGGGGTTTAGGGCTTAGGGTTTAGGTACCGGGGCTCTCTTGCGGCTTTCGGAGTCTCCAAGGATATTTGAGTCTGGAGGTGAAGGAGCTGGGCTGTTGTTTTCCTCGTGACCATCAAGATCAACCCCCAAGACGTGCTAGGATTTCGGGGGTTTCGGATTTAATTAGGTCCAACCAAACATGGAGTCCAAAGCATCCATGCAAGCTTGTGTTTGGTAGTGCAGCCTGACCTTTTCCTAGATGGGTGGAGGGTCGAACTCAAACAACTCAACGGTTTCCACTGCGATGCTAGAACCCTAAACCCTCAAGTCTAGCTCGAAGAAACATTAGCCACTAAACCGCCAATGGCTGTCCTCGGCCTCGTTGTGTTTCAGGGGTAAGGTACCCTACACCCTAAACCCGGAATCCTAAACCCTGAAGCCCAAGAAGAGCCCTAGTAGAAACCCGGAATCCACAACTCTAAACCCCCAACTCTGAACCCTAAACCCCGAGCCCAAAACCCGAAACCCCTAGCCCAAAGCCCAAAGCCCTAAACCCCTAGCCCAAACCCTAGGGGCTGAGGACCCTAGCCCCAAATGGTAAACCTTCCAAGTAGAATGGGATGATATTGAACCCCAAAAGAATAAGAAGTTGAAGGTATTTGGGCGGTGGGGTTTATAAGTTCAGGGTTGAGGATTAAGGGCTTACCTACACTCAGGCCCTCGGAAACGCTCAAGGCTTCCCGAGTGCCAGGGGACGTTGTGTTGAAGGCCTCCATGCAGATGGCTTCTGCCACGATGGGCATTCCCGAGCCTTGGTAACTTGAAAAATTAACCCAAAGGGGCTCCTTTCAACGGCTCCTTTTGGGGTTCTGCAACAGGGGGTTACTTTAGAGGTGGTGTTCTAATTACGTTAATGAGGCTTTGGAAAAAGGGCCTTGTATAACTTACAACTAGACTAAGGGGTACAATACATATGTATATATATATATGTAGAGAGAGAGAGAGAGGGAGAGAGAGTATTAGAATGACGAATCTTACGGCACAGCATTCAAAAGTTCTCCGACCCTGTATCGACGATTTGGCTTTACAGAGCTTAGCGGAACAGTGAGAAAGTTGCAGTTTAGTGCTCCTTATTGTGATGTCTCCTGAACAAAGTGTAGCCCTGACCCTCCAGGCACCTATTATAGCGAGTACTAGAGCCCCTAGGGCCCTATAAAGTAGGTACCTGGAGGATTAGGGTAGGGTTTTGGCGGTGAAGGCTAGGGCTTGTAGGGTTACGGTTTGGGATCTAAGACGATTTCAGTCTAGGGTCTCGGGGCCAGGTAATCACCTGCAGCCCCCAAATACTGGAAGACGATCACCCTTAAAAAATAGCGCATCTCCCTAAATGTACTAATGTACTATATGAGTTGCCCCAGAGTCGGGGTATAGGATCCGACCTTGCATGTCTGAACTTTAAGATGGCCATCATTACATAGGCACAGTCGTGCCTACATTGCTTCCTTGATGAAGCCGGCTAGCTTGAAGCTTCATTGTGCAAGTCGGTTGCTCTAGCACACAAGACTCGATGGAGAACTTGATGTGGACAACAGTCGCTTGTCCAGAAGCTGTGGGACTGGGTCTGCCTGGCTACCTGCCCCAGAAGCCTCCGCCAACATGCAAAAGTTCGCCCACCCTGAACCCTGAACCCTAAAAAGCCCCAAACACTAAACCCTAAACTGTGAAACTAATTCCCAAGCCCTTACATCCTTCAAGCCATAGCGCCGAACCCTGCACCTAAGCCCCCAAAGCCTAAACTCCTCAAGTATACAAATGGGAGTTTCCGAAAATAAGGGGTACCGTATTTTGGGGTCCTTATAATAAGGGTCCTACTATTTAGGGTACTATATTAGGGTCACCGCGATTGATTATAAGACCTCAAAGAAACCCCAAGTCGAAGTGTGACTTCCCACTATACAAATCCGAAAACCCAATGAAACCTACCGGCCCAAAGACCCCTCATCTCCGAACATCAAACACGAAACCCTTGGCCCTGAACCCCAAACTCTGAACCAAACTCCTAAACCCTAAATCTTAAATCCGAAATACTAAAACCTACATTAGGTCTAAACCCCTTAAATCCTAAAGCCTAAATCCTAAATACTGAAACCTAAACCAAAAACCAGCATCAAAGGAACCTTGGACAGCGCAGCCATCGTCAAAGGAATAGACCCCATGGCCCGAGTCCGGAGGAACGGTCCTCTGGTGCTCATTCGCAGGGTTCTATTGGGATTTAGGGGTTTAGGGTTTAGGGAAGTTTAAGGGTTTAGGGCTTAGGGAAGTTTAGAGGTTTAGGGTTCAGGGGAGTTTAAGGGTTTAGGGTTTAGGGAAGCTTAGGGGCTTAGGGTTTAGGGTTGTAGGGTTTAGGGGCTTAGGGGTTTAGGTTTTCGGGGTTTACCAGGACCACCTGCCCTTTAACGGAGCCCTTACGGTCCTCACCAGTGCGGGTATTTAAGTTAGATGGTGGTGTCTAGGTGGGGCTCATAAAATAGGGTTTCGGGTTTGGGGTTTGCCTGTGGCTGTGTCCTTGTTTTCAGTTCGTTTTTTCCACGGTTCGTGTTTCCGACCAAGATTAGGGTGCCAGAAAGGGTTTAGCTTCTGCTGTATAGGTCTTACAGACTACACCTGAAAAAAAACCCTCAACCCCCCCAAACCCCATAAGCTGCATTAACCCTAAACCCCATAATCCGCATAAGCCCTAAACCCCATGAGCTCCATAGGCCCTAAACCTTAAGCCTCAAGACCCCATGCCTTCCTTGCACCCCAGAGACCGAGATCATCAAAGCTGGAACCGAAACCTCGGACATGAACATATGTGGTACGATAAAGTATATTAGCATGTTGCACTACATTATACTACATCTATTATGGCATTTCTTGCTGAATCGTCCTGTAAGTGGGTTATAAGTAGAGTTATAAGTACCCTAAATGGAGTTACCCTACTTATCTATGTAAAAAAAGCTTGCAAGAGGCCCAAGTGGCTGACAGGAGACAGGTTTGGATCCTGCTGGGCAGATCGCCTCAGATTTCAAGGGACTGAAGGCCTTGGGGTTATATGGGGGCTTTATGAGACTATAGAAGGGTTATATAGGGTATTAGGATTCGGGGTCCCTTCAACGGATCCCTTCTATTGTCCCTTAAAGATTGGGAATTTGGTGGTGTCAGAGTTTGCAGGTCTACCTGTGGCATCAGCTACCTACCTCCCCCAAAGGGAGGGGTTTAGGGCTCCTTTCAGGGATTCTTTACTCCTTTCAGGGTACCCATGAGGATGCTATCCCTAATGGTCCTATGTACTGCTACGGGGGATACTTCCCGAATTCATTAACAGTAATTCCGAATGTAGAAACCCTACATTCTGCCATATAGGTACATAGGCCCCTCTCGGCTGCTTGAGGGGTGACAGTTACAGTGTTGCATCCATTGCCCTAGAAAGGACAAGGAACCACGCCTGCCCCAAGCCTGCAAACTAGGCTTTAGGGTTTAGGGTCCCCACCTGTAAACCCTAAACCCTAAACCGCCTAGACCCCACCCCTAGTTTAGAGAAGCCCAGCTGCAGAAACCCAGCAAGAGTCGAGGCGACAGGATTGTGGGCTGTACACCGCCACGCTCCCGAGGCCTAAGTCGACCTCAGCTGCTCTTCCGAACCCTCCCAGAGACAAGAATTAGGATTTAGGGTTAGGGTTAGTGAGGGTCTCTATCTATCTGTTTACCTATCTACCTATTTATCTATGTTTCTTTCTTTCTATGTATCTATCTATCTATGAATCCGTCTGCGCATCCGCCCACCGATCTATGTACCGATCTGTCTTTAAACTCATCTGTATATCTAATCGTCCATCTATCTAACTATAGGATAGCAATAGTACTCGTAGCAATCGGAGTGCTAACCGTAAGTGGAAAAGCTAGTAGCAGCAATAGAAAGAAGGACTGGAATATCAATAGTGGTAATGAATATTAATTGTTAAAATTAAATAACAGCAACAAGTTCATAGTCACAGCCATAGCCGTAGTCATAGCAAACAATAAACACGAAGTACACCATTAGCAAACATGAAAATCAAAAAGTACGTAGCATAGCAGTAGCAGTAGTAGTGGTAGTCGTCGTCGTCGTAGTGGCAGTGGTAGTGGTCGCGGTCGCGGTAGTGGTGGTGGTTGTGGCTGTGGTGAGGGTGGTGGCGGCGGTGGTGGTGCTGGTGGCGGTGGCGGTGGCGAGATCAGCCCCATAAAGACATACGGTTATTGCCATTGCCAACACCCAAAGTAAACCCAATAAGCCCAAGATCGGAAGTCAACGCCCTAAGCCTCAGCCGAGCTGCCTCAGTCGTGCTTCCATTGTACAACCGCTTGTAGACACTGCCACAGCTGCTCGGACTCTTGGACACGCAGGCAGATGCAGAAGGATAGATGGTGCACGAGTTGCAGCCGAACTGGAACGCCTGCGCTGAAGGTTGAAGGTTGATTCCAACCGCATACCAAAGTCCCTGCACTCTACAAGGACCCTATACCTCCAAAACCAAAGCATCATCGCTAACAGACCAAGAAAACTGACAGCCAAATCCCGAAAAAATCACCGAAACCGAGGTTAAGGCGCCTGGCAGTTGGTTGCCCGGCAAAGCGCGGAACAACGCAGGAGGGACATGCCCTCGTAGCCTTGAGGTTGCACGAAACCCGAAAGTCCCCCAAGTTACTGTAAGGGCATTAATAATTAGAATAGGGTTGGAGAGTATTTTATACGATGATCATACTGAGCCTCCTCCCCCGGCAGAAACAGTATAATTATTTAGGCCCCTGTACCGCTTCCCACTTCAAAAAGTGACATAGTATCCCTAAGAGGTGTAACGGCATTTCAGAGAAATAATAAAAGACACAAGCAATATAGACCCTTAACTATTAGGGTGCTCCTTATTATAACTCCCTATTCTAATCTTAAAGCCCCTATAGTATCAACGCGAAACAGTCAGGAGGATCCTCCTCCTGACGACCCGTGAAGGGTTTAGGGTTTAGGGTGAAACAAGTTCTCGCTATGTTTCAGAAAACTCCACCAACAGTTTCCACAAGAGTCCATGCACTCGTATGGTATACAATAGTAATATATTTTGGTCTTCAAGTAACCGTACTTTGGGACCAAAGATGACAAAAAAAAGACTATGTGTCAATCTAGGGTGCACAAACCTTGGCCGCTAAACCCTAAACCCGAAGCCCTAAGTCCTAAACCTTATAAGCCTTTAAAGGAATCTCTTAAAGGAAGCTTAAAGGAAGCCCTAAAGGAACGCTTAACGGAACCCTTACAGGAACTCTCAAAGCGCCCAAACCCAAACCCTAAACCTGAAACCTCTACACTAAGCCTCAATACCCTAAACTGCTGTTATGGGGGGATATTTCGCTAAATCATAGCAGTAATTCCTAGTATAGACGCCCTAGATTCTACTCTATAGGTCCTTAGGACCCTTTGGGCGTTTGAGCCCTATACTCCCTAAACCCTCTGAATCCGAAACCCTAACCCTAAGGCTCAAAATAGCCCAAAAACCGTAGATAGTATGGTCTTTGGGCCCAAAAGCCATAAAATATGAGTCCTTAGAGCCTTAGGGTAAATGCATCCCAGGATCGGCGTGCAGTCCAGTCCCTACCCGCGCAAAGGGATGCTTCCGTGCAGGCGAAATCCTCGAGGTCGCCCGTGTCTGCGCTGCCCGAACCTTGGCTGTTTCAGGATTTATAGGAGCTAAGGCCCCGTAACCCTAAACCCTAAACCTGAACTTGGGTTCAGGAAGTTGGGGAATAGGGGTTAGGGGTAGGAGCGTTTCAAGCCAGTAAGTTTAGGAATCCTAGACCCCCTTAACTACCCTCTATTTTGCCCGAAATACCCACCATTAAGGACCAGACCAACTCATCTAGTATTGGGGTGTGGACTATGTCCTAGTCATACCCTAAGGCTCATACTATGTATAAGGCTTTTGAGCTACTTTGAGCCTTCGGGATAATGAGGGTTTATCGAGCTTGCGAAGCGATTCCCGAGGTGTGGGTTGTGGTGCGTCAGAATGTGATCGAGTTCTTACAGAGTGAAGTTACCAGCCCACTTTACCCGCGGAACCTGGCCGAAGATCAAAAGCCTCTCGTAACAGGGCCCAGCAGCTTTTGTGGCACTTGGCTGGATCCAATATCTCTGTCGCGAAGCGCGAGCCTAGCTGCATGTCGAGATTTCGGAGGTAGAGGCTGCCACCGCAGGTGCTGCGCTTCTGTGGGCCGCAATCGCTCAACAGCCGGCAGTCGGTGTTGCAGTGGTACCTCCCGGGAAACGACATCCTGGAACCAAGCCGTAACCAGTCACTTCGAAAGCATCAGTCCAGAATCCACACTACTGCTGCTTGGGTATCCAAAAACTTTCCCGTTTTCAGGGTTGGGGGCCATAACCTCCTATTTCGCAGGCCTTGGGCGTACAGGTAGTAATTTGATTTGACACATAAGATGCTACTATCGAGGCCCAAGATACTGGACGGCTTGGCAATTTCGGTATCCACGGCAAGCTGCCAGGCATGCCTGCGAGGCAATGGGGCTCAGAACATGGAATTTCGGGTTTGAACATGTTTCGACGTGGGGAAGACTGAAGAGTGTCCGGCAGTCTCTTCTATTTTGGGAGCCTCGGGCAGATCCTGAGCTGAGCCACCGAACTCGAACCCGAAATCCTTAGTATACTTGTACCATAAAGGAGCCCCAAACACTGTTCCAATGATTGAGGCGCCTACAGTACTCCCTAGTTAATTCCGAACCCTGAGCCGCAAAACGTAGCGACAACTAGCGTTGACAGTGTCACTTAAGGACGTCAAGTAACTTTCCAGGGCCGCAAAAAAACAGTCTGTAAACCCTGAGCCGACATAATTGCAAAGTCACGGCAGCAAATTGAAAGCAGTTGTGGCTTTTCGTCTGTGCATTCACGTTGCTTCAGGGCTGAGAGTTTCGTGTTCGGCGTTTGGGACTAGACATGCCCATTATTCCTTGCATTGCCACCGTGGGTGCTCCTGTTCAACATACCAGGTACTCCATTCCTCCGCCTGAAACGAAAGAAGTCCTTCAGCACGAAAACTTACACTCTGCATCTCAAGAAAAGTCATTCCAAAATTCCCAGAAACAGCAACACAACACCGCTTCAGGGTTTATGAGGCTTCGGGCTTATGTAGCTTGAAAAAACCGTCTATCCCCCTACCACAACAGTGCTGCAGCCTCAGCCTCCGGCGGTTCTGAACCAAAGCCCCTGGGCCTCAAGCCGGCGCCAAAACCGCGCTTGACCCTGGAACCCCAGAGCCCGGTTTGGGGTTTAGGGTTTAGAGTTTGGGGTTAAGGGAATATGCCTCTAACACTACATACACCGCTGAAAGCCCGAAGAAGACCGAAGTCCAAACCGACTCAACAACAATATCTGCCTTAGAGGCCCTATTGGGATGACATAGGGCTTAAATTCTTAGAAACCCACATCCGAACTCAAAAAAAAACCTACACCTTTCAGAGGTCCTGGGGCCCGGTGAAAGCTGCCTCTAGGGGTATCGGCCCGAGGATGGTCGCCATGTTCTCGTTGCTACACGACCTGGGTCTGATCTTCTACTGGTTTACCATTCAGGCTGCATTGTAGTTCCTTTTTTGGGATTACCTTATAGGATCCCAAATATGAGCCACAAGAAAGGAACTACTAAGTTACTATGGTACCGCACCATAGCTTAAGGCTTTGCGGATTTCCGGGGCGTCCACCTCGATGCCCTAAACCCTATAGACCGTACCGTCTTCAGGGCCACGACCTAGAGAGTTGAGGCCAGATCCCGCTTCTTTGCTGCTTTGCGTAGGCTGGAGGTCGGCATTCACATAAAGCTTACGCCCTAAACCCTAAACCCCAAAACCCTGAACCCTAAAACCCTAAACCCTAGACCCTAAAACCCTTAAACCCCAAAACCGTTAAAACCCTTA